CCCGTAGTAGTAGTAGTAGTAGTAGTAGTAGTAGTAGTAGTACTAACAGTAGTAGTAGTAGTAGTAGTAGTAGTAGTAGTCGTAGTAGTAGTAGTAGTAGTAGCAGTAGTAGTCGTCGTAGTAGCAGCAGCAGCAGTAGTTGTTGTTGCTGTTGTTGTTGTAGCTGTCGTAGTAGTTGTTGCTGTGTAGCTGCGGCATTAGCAGTAGTAGCTTTTGGCTAGTAGATAGCAGTAGTCGTCAAAAACTTCGCGATTAGCAGTATGATTACTAGTAGACTAAATAACAAGATCACAGAAACAACTTATGAGGAGCTTGGACTGCTTCTCAGTCCTTGCCGGTCGACGCTCCCTTGGAAGCGCCGGCACCCTTGTCTTTGTCCTGGGGGGTCAGCACCGTCCGGTTTCTACGACGTGTGACTTGGTGCTTCGACGTTCAGCTGTTGTCTGCATGTGAGGGCTGATTCCACCACTTCTAGCTGGTTCTTCCGACTCTCATCACGGTATGTCACCGCATGTGTGCGTGTATGTATATGTATGTATCTGTGTATGTATGTATGTGTATATATATATATACAGTATATATTTATGTATTCATGTATATATTTATATATGTTTATGCAATACATAGACATATGACGTGTGTATATATATATGTGTGTGTGTGTGTGCGTATATACACAAACACACACATTTGCATCTGCAAGAGCTTGCTGTCTAGCTCTTGCCTAACCGCAGCTCTATTCGTGAAAACCTTGCGGCAGCGGTGCGACTGTATCGTCACCTTCCTGTCCGCAGCACATTTTAAGATTTCCAGGCTGTTTCAAGCTGTTTGTGATACTACGTACTATATGTCTGCTGTATGCTGTTGCAACTGCATAGTTCAAGATGCAGGCCTTGGACTCGGTATGGCTTATTGCTGTTAAGCTTTTGTGGGCAAGCCGTGGGAATTACAGTAGCAAGGACTTTTAGAACAGGTCAAGCTATGCTCACCGAACAACGAATCTTATTGGTTCCCTGAGCAAATAATCATGGCGGTCTGCAGCCTTGCAAATTAACTCACCTCTGGCGTGCCCCGGCCGCACGTCCCAAATCAGTCCTTGGCTGCAGTCTTGCGCATCACCTGAACAACCAAAAATCACAAGTGAGGTTGGGGTTTAGGGTTTAGGGAGTTTAGGGTGGTTTAGGGTTTAGGGATGGAGCTTACCAACCTACTTGCATCACGTGTGAGTCTTGTCCCGGCCGCTCACCGATGCAAGCTGCAGGGGATGCTTGGCTTTCAGACTCAATCTGGCATTAAACGTGCCTTCCTGTCTGCTTGTTCACTGTCATTTTCATGTCTACTCCCCTCTTTGCTGCTGCTACACCAACAAAGACTAACGCCCACGACTGACATGCACAGTCGCAGGACCACATTACACTACAATCAGCAACTGAGCGGCTTCACAAATACTACTAGCAGAAACGATAGCAGCCTGACGTTGCATATGCCCACGTGGACAAAGACAACTGCAACCACGCCCACCCCGACCCAAAACCCGCAATCGCCACTATAGCTTCAGTGTCAACAAACTTATATTATTTGCACTCGTTCATGTGCGTGTATATGTCTGGTGAGTCCAGCGGAAATTCTCAAACACAGGGTCCCGAGGCAACTTCGAGAGCTGAGGCCCTGATTTAAAGTTCAATGTAAGGCTTTCGAGCTCACCTTCTCTGAGAGGAACTGCTTGAAGAGCGGACTGTTCACGTCGTAGATCATCGTCGATCTCGGATCCTGACGTTTCGGTGAAGTCGGCAGTGCCTAAGGAAACACTGACAACACCGAGACGAAACTATCTGAAAGAGACGCTGGCGATAACGCTGGGTAAACTCTAGCCCTCGGTCTTTTCAGCTTGTGATGGCGGATTTTTGCAACATATCCAAAAACCGCCACACCATGTCACGCTATGCCTCCAAAGCCCAGACCCTCATGCTCCACACACAGAGCTCCCAAACCCGAAACTACTTGAACCTGCAGTTCTATGTTGCCCGGAATATGTTGTCATCATGTGGACATGAAGCACCCAACATGATACGCATGTCTGGTTCATGCATGGATCATGAAGATGATATGATGATGGTGGATGATGACGATGGTGATGATGATGATGATGACGGATGAAGGAATGAATATGAATACCCGGAGCTTCGTGTAACCTCTGTATGACGACTACTCTTTGAAGCAAAAGGTGGTCCTACTGACCACTATGAGACCCGACGCCCCTCCCGCAGCGGAGCCTCTTGAGCTGTCACCTTTCGATGTGTGGAGCGCGCCGGCCCGGATACCAAATGCACTGTAGGCCAAAGATGCAGAGGCTTGAGGTTTAGGGTTTAGGGCTTAGGGCTCACAGGGTGTCTGCATAGGGCAGGGTTCAGGCGGTGGGCAGGGTCCATGGACAAGCAAACTTTAGCAGCCCAAGGAAGCTGCAACGAGAGAAAGGGCTGAAGGATGTGATGGTAATGAAGCAGAATGCAGCTTGACCCTGTGCCTGAAGACACGACTTGGTCCAAGCTCTGGATCTGGCTGACGAGATCTAGAGAAGATACTTCTGATCCCAAGACGTCGCCTTCCCTCCTAGTTTGCCAAACCGTCACAGCTGGCAGAGAACGGCTCAACTGCCACCCAACAGCCACAAAAAACACCCGGGCCATCGCTGCTGAGGCTAGGACACCTTCTCAGTGGCCAGTGCAAATCACTTTGGTATCCTATGGAGGATGAAAGGTGCTCCAATGCCAAGCACTCGAAGGCTACAAGTAGCAGCTGAGCTAACTAGACAGGAGGATGCTCGAGGGCCCAGGTGGGACATGATCCTGTACCTCCCGTTGCCTTCGACGCCTTCAACAGCCCAGCGCTTCCTGGATGGCAGCAGATGGGCTCTGCCATGCAAAGAAACGGCTACCGCGTAAGATCATGGCCCTACTGCCATCCGACGTATCGTGTTAAAAGATGTTGTACAGGGACTTGCTTGGGCCTCCTATAAGAAAACGGCACACCTTTAAAGGTCCCAAAAAGAAGAGGCACTTTGACGCTTCAGGCGGCCGTACGCCTGCTGCTTCGCCGCATTCCCTGATTTTTGCAGACCTGCACGATGCGAAGGTCAGGGAGATTTATGCTGCATTGCTGCTTGCATGTGAAACTTTCCGAACTCCTCCGTTTGGGTCTGGGCTGCGGCCGCAGTGTGCGAAGGGTTGGCCCCCACCACAAAACCACTGCGAACTCACAGCGATAGGGCGCGGAGCCTCAAAGCATCCCAAACCCTGCAGAGCTCCTCTGTAATCCAAGCCTGCCAGATTGGCAATCCGGACTCAGAGAGACTTTCCTTTGATTAATTGCGCATTCCACATTGGTATTTCCTAGACTGCCCATAGGAATCCAGAGTATTTGGTGACAAAGTGGCCCGAACCACTCCTTCCCAAAAGAAGGACCAAGCAGGGACATCCCCACTGCTGCCCCCGATAAGATGCAAGGCGCCAGTCTTAAGGGGGCCAGGAGATATCGGCGTCCCTCACTCCAGGACCTCCACCTCTGGGTCTAGAACAGCAGACGCAGGCGGCCGGGGGACCGGTGCTGCCTTAGCTGCCTGAGCCATGGCTCTCCGACGAGCCCGGCGAATGGCAGCAGCTCGCTTGCCGATGTCATCCTCGGCGAGGTCCACGACCTCCTTGCCGTTGGTCTTCCCGTTGGTGGCCACGTTGACGATGTCCAGGTCCGGCGACTGCTCCCCTCGGCGCAAAGCTATCTAAGGAGGATTCTAGTTGAGTGTGGGGGGGGGTTCATACATCTGATGCATCCTCTACTTACTCTACTTGCTGCTTTGGCGCCGCTGCCCTCCCCGCTAGACTTCGTTCTCTTCACGGGTCGGCTGTCATCGAGCCCATCGCTGTCGTCGGCGGCATCGATCTCCGCGAGCACAGACCGCTTCTTTTGCTGCTCACGAGTCTGCCTCCGCAGCTCCAACCGGTCCTCTAGCGTCAGCTTTCTAAGAGGCTCACCAACGTGCCTCGGCTGGCAATCATGAGCAACATACGATCCTAACAGAACTGCAAAACAACCGGGCTTGCACCAGAAAAGCGTCTTCTTCCAACTAGGCAGAGCTGCTTTGGATTGTCATTCACGTCGACATCTTTCCGATATTTCTTATCCTCACCATACCTATCCCAGCTTGCCATGGCTAGTCTCCAGGCCCGCTCCGGGGACGAAAAGGAAAAATACTCGAACCTACAAGGAAACGAAATCAATCTGTCAAGCTCACGAGCTTGGAGCGCCCTGCCACCCAAGCAGATCATCAGCAATATAGGGGCCTTAATAATTAGAATAAGGTCTTTTTGGGATATACAAAACTATACTTCTAATAAGGAACCCCCAAACCAGTCTTGCAAATTATTAGGGCCCCTATATTACCTATGCCAAGATGCCGGAAACTGCGCCGTGTCCTAGTCCACAGCAAGGCCCCAATGGGCCGGGGGTATCCTAACAACTCGGGATGGACAGTTCGATGACCCTAACCCCTAAACCCTAGAAACCCTAGAAACCCTTGCACCCCTAAACCCTAAACCCCTAAAGGGCCCCACTGTAGCTTCAGTATGCTTCACCGAAGCCTTCACCAGGGCCTCGAAACGAAGTCGGCCTTGCAGGTCTACGTAAAGAGACACTGAGTGAGAGATTAGGTCACTGCTCATCAAAGTGGGCAGGATAAGAAGGCCTGGGTCACTTTCAAGAAAGCCTCCCGAAGCCTCGTCACGATCGATTCGCCGTGGGCTGTCTAGCTGGCCTGATTTTCGCTGAACTGCGGCTGGAAATGCCATGTCATGACCCAAAAACTCGACTAACCAAGACCAAAAAAAACGAATCACCCACAGCCGACCCTCCCCTCTGGCAGGTACAGCACTGGAGTGACCCAGGAGCCACGTCCCCCATCTCTTTTTGGCGGGATCTTCCTCGGGTCTTTGCGGGTGACGTATGCACATCCTGAGCGAGGGCGTCGCATTCGCCCAGAACAACTCTCAGCCTTATGGCCATGAAGATCCGAGTAACTCTAAGTCCCATGGTTAAAGGAAAACTACAGGTGGGGAGTTTAGGGTATTTTGGGGCTTCTATGAGGCTTCTATAATATAAACCTTCTATAAGGCTCCTATAAAAGTAACTACCCACCTGAAAATGTCCTAGACATGGTCTTCAGACCCGTCAGGTTATTGAATCGTATACACATGATGCTAACACTGTGCAGTGTTCAGATGAGATCATATCGGAATACAGATCCCCGAAGTCTTCCGAATACCATCTTATGCCTGGCGAAAAGGGGGGTCCCACTTGCACGTCGCATTCGCCCGTGAGACCTGGAAGGCGAATGCAAGCTGCACTTCTCACAGGCCCACGCTGTTCGGAGCTTCTGACAAACTGAAACCCAGTGCAGGTTACTGGGGGATGGGAGATTTCCTACATGTTATACAGTGGGGACGACTACGGTGCCTTGGCAGATATGTCCGCACGGTACTCCGTATACTCTGCGAAGTGAACTGCACGCAGGCGCGACGCTTCGAGAAACGCTTCGAGAAGCTCGGTGCTCAACTCGATGCATGGTTGACTCTTCATTCTCCAACCCCTCATTACCGTAGCCGCCGAAAACGACCTACCTTTCTGTAGGGATCCTTATACTATGGTTTCCATCTATAGCTCCCTGTAAAAGGTAGGCCGTTCGAGTCGGTCCGTGGTTGACGTTCCTTGATGTTGGCCACAGCAGTGTGCAAACCTGTCAGATGCTGTCACTGGCCGAGTTGCCGTCTGACTTATAGATCACGCAATAAACCTATTTCATCTTTCTTCTAAAGCTAACCCTAGGCTTCCAGGGACCTGATTATTGGGTCCTTAAGGGGTCTAGGGCCCTAGCTAGAAGGTCCTCGGAAGCATAGGGTTTACGGAACCGGGCAAAGCCATCAGACAAGATGATGGTGAGGACCGCTCGCGTGACGTTTTCAGGACAAGTTCGGGGAGCCGCATGGGCCAATGCGCAAATGGACGGGGACGTCCCGTTCGGTGACGTTGGCCCAACGATAAGCCTTTACCGTAACCTACATTCCACTAAACCCTAAACCCTAAACCCCTGCCTCTTTGCTTGTTCTACTCTCGGGTCTTACCTTCGAATCTTTTGCAAGGATTGCACATGGATGCCTCAGCCCTAAAACGACCTCGTCATCGTCGACCAAGAACATATCTAAGCCCTGGAATCTCTCGTCGCGTCTCGCGGGAAACTTCCTTGCGTCATGGATTACTGAGTACCCTGAAGCCCTAACCATGAACTCTATCCCAAATAACCCTAACCCCGCAAACCCTAAGCCCTAAACTCGAAAAAAACCTCGATGTACACAATATACGCATGTGTATATGTGTATATGTACAACACCTGTGCCTGTCGCCCTGACCGGGTCCAAGGTGTCCAACCCCTTCTTTCCGGGGGTGCGCTGCCAAGGACACAGAAGACCTTCATGGTACAGGTCAGTCGAAGCGTGGCGTGTACATCCAAAAAAAGCACGATCAACGATTGGGGTTCCAATGTGTCTGGACGGTTCTCTGTTTGAAGTCGAAGGTGCTTCCATTCCGCGAAGACCCCAAACCCTAGAGTCTGAGTGAGTCTCCACCTGAAGCTCTGTACCCAATGTAAGTGTAACCCGATATGCGTCCAAGATCGCAAGCGCCTAGACCCTAAAACCAAGGACCGAGTTTCAGAAGCTTCACGAAACCTAGTTGAGGCTGTGCTTGCTCCCAGCCGAGGGCCATCTCAGACACGTCAGGGCCAGGGCCTGGAGCTCGGAGCAACGTAGATGATCATAATAATAGAAATAACAGTGATAATTCTGGGTGCAATAATCATCTTATACTATATTGTATAATTATCTATATACGATTAATATCAGCATCAGAATCATCGACGTCAAGAACAACCATCATCAGGAACTGGCGACATTGTCATCATCGCCATCATTGTCACCACCATCGTCATCGTTGTCATCACCTTCATCGCCATGCTCATCGCCATCATCATGAGTCTCATCAACACTGAGGATATGACGGCGATGAGGCTACTATCCCTAACAACGGCATCATGAATCTTCCTCAGCCGCCACTGACGCAGCATAGCACTCCGGCAGGTGTTGGTGGCGGCAGTGTCGGACGATGCTGACAACGACAACCCTGACCACTCTGTGGTAACGATGGACCATAGTGGTGGCTGTGATGATACAGGGGAAGGTTGTGACTCCAGGTGCCGATGCTTATGACGGCGATGGTAGCCATGGTGCGCATCGAGCAGCCGGTGGTGGCGGTGGTGGTGGTGGTGGTGGTGGGGGCGGCGGCGGCGGCGGGAGGGGTTTTGTAGGGGGTAGTGGTGGCGCTGGCGATGGCTGTGATGATGATGATGATGATGATGGCAGTAACGATGGTGATAATGCAAACGGACGTGGATAGCTGACATGATGCTGAATGCGATGAGCACGGTGATGCCTAGGACAACGAGCTTCAAGACCAACCACCCAAGAAAAACGCCATGCGATGATCCTGAAGAACACCTTAAGACATCTCAGTGCAATGGTTTGGCAGCTGCGCTTGTCCGCACAAAGAAAGCCTTGCTGGCACTCAGCAAATGCCGCGATCATACCCTGAACTCTCACATACAGTTAATACAAAACATGCACATACACACATACATATATGCATACATACATACAGACAGACAGACAGACGGACGGGCGGACAGACAGACAGACAGACAGACAGACAGACAGACAGACAGACAGACAGACAGACATGCAGCTGCTCACTCGTCAGTTCATTGATGAATTCATACTATATTCTTTACACATATGCATACATACATACGTACATACACACACGCACATTTGCATGCGCACATACATACACACATACATGCATACATACATGCATGCATGCATGCATGCAGGCATGCATGCATACACTTGCTTGCTTGCTTGCTTGCTTGCTTGCTTGCTTACTTACTTACTTACTTACTTACAGGCAAACATCCATCCATCAATCCATCCATCCATCCATCCATCCATCCATCCATCCCTCCGTCCATCAATCCATCCATACATTTATGCCTACAAATATCCATGCAAACGAACAAACAAACATACATGCATGCATACATGCATACATACAAACGAACAAACATACATGCATGCATGCATGCATACATGTGTAGTAAGGTATGTTAACTCTCATGAGCATCAGGACGAAGCAACACCCGCAGCAGTCCGGGAGCCCGGCGGCTCCCGCTGCGCCAAAAAGGACTGGCAAAGCTGCCACCGCCCAAAGGGGAGGGGCAAACTCAGCCTGGTGCTGCAAGGTTTCTCTCCGAAGATGTCCCCGAACTTCACAGGTTCTGACTTTGGGCCACCTAAACCCTAAACCAAAGAGCCTCCCAACCGATAGGCTCCGAGGAGGAGTGTCTTTTTGTTGCACCTTCAATAGAAGCCTGGGGAGCTCTCGGACCCGTGTTGGTGCTCTCAACGACTCCCGGCGCCCAGAATTCACCGACTGGTGCCACATGCGACCGTTCAGAACTTCGCTCTGCAGCTGCTTTTGTCCGAGGGTCCTGCGGCTTGTGAAACTGCCGGACATGCAAACATCATTTGCATCCGAAGTTCCTCCATGCTAAAAATCACAGTGGAGTGATTGCATCGGTGCTTAATCCTGGAGAAGAGAACATTTGCCATCGGCCACGCCTGCTGAAAGCTGCGCGAGCCACTGCGCTGTTCGAATCTCGAATTCCGACTGGGCGTGAGCTACTGCAACTACGTACTGTTTCCCATGCTAATTACTCTGTAGCCAATTTGCCCCGCCGGCAGCAGCTCGAACACGGACCCGGCCGCCATGCGACCACAAGAGCAAGAGACTTGCGGGCGGCAAGCTGGTGAGTCCCGTGCCGCGCGAATTTTTGAATATCTCGTAAAAACATGCAACGAATCTCTGTCTTGCAGTCATGCAGCTCTTCTACACTGTGGAGGCTCGAGATCACGGGGCTCCCTCTGCAAAAGACCAATTCGGGTGTGCTCGCATGGGAGCCCAAAACAGTCCGAGTTGGCGAACGATGCCGTGAAGGCACTCATCGAACCCGAAACTCTCAAAATTCACTGGCCGAAAAGGCAGAACCTAGGGTAGCTCTGAGTATGAGTATTCATGAACCGTATGCAAGGCTTGTTGGCTCACGAACCGTAATGTAACAAACCTGAGAATTATTAGTCAGTTAGCTGAATCCACTCTCATCTCAGGGCAGCAGCGTTTAATCTATCGGACACCCATCTCACCACCGGAGCTTACCATCGAGGTTGTACTTCTTCAGGAGGGATGCATAGTACGGCTTCTCTCTACCTCGGGTACTGCATCGGCCTTGGATTACAAATCGAACTCGTTGAACTCTTTCACCCACTTCTTCGTTTCTGCGTCCTCTGGACTCTCAAGGTGGCTGTAGGCCCCCTTGTCATGCAAAGGAGTGGAGGCGGATCATGTTCAAACCACGCTCAGGGATGCTGCAGCCATTGAACTTCAACATCTGGTACATGTACTCGTCATGGCCCCAGGAGAACATCAGCTCAGTGATGCCGCAGCCTGGGTGGTAGATGCCGTTGCTCGTGCTGAAGACAGGATGGTTCTAGTCCGGATTCTCACGGAACGACTCCGGGAAGACGATCGAATCCTCTGCGGGCGCGCAGCCAACCGGGAAAGTGTCACCAACAACCGCCCACTGTGGCAAAGTGTCTTTTCAATTTCCCGCCATCTTTGGCAATGCCATGACCTTGCCCAGGTCATGCAGAAGGCCAACCAGATGAAACCAGTCAAACTCCTCCCGGGCAACTGCTCACGAATGCGCTCAGCAGTCTGGAAGTCATGGATGCTATTGGGGATGTCCACATCAGGATCCGAATCGTCCACCAGCTCATCCAGCATGGAGATCACCTCCATCACCGTGAACTCGCCCTTGTTGAACTTCAGCCATTTCTACCGCTGTTGCTGCACGAACTCAACAGTCTGATTCTGGTGCATCAGCCCGTAAGTGGCCGCCACTTTCTCCTGTCGCTCCGAGTTCTCATAATTGCGAAAGCTGTCTCCGAACATGTTCTTGGCCGTCTGCTCGGAGTGACCGCTGTTGCCCAGCTCCGCCAGCTGCCCCGTGCGGCCAAGCTTCCAGGAAAGCTCCGCAGCCATCGTGGCTCGAAGCACACCCGGATGCCGGAGCGCGAGCTCCACAAACTCCGTGAGCTCGGATCTGTAGGCCTGCAGGTACCGTTGGGGGAAGCTGTACATGGCCGGCGGTCGCAGGTGTCCTGCACTTGTGGCCAGCTCCACTGTGCTGGTGAGCTCATTGTGGGCTGTCAGCATTCCCGTCTCGCCGAAGACTTCGATGCGTTGGTCGTAGCCGTAGGAAGCATCACGACTGGTGTCAACCATGGCCATCATGCCGCTGGCGTACTTGGACATGACCGCACATGTGTCGACGTCCTTCATCTTTTCAATCTCGGGGTGGTAGCAATGCCCGATGGCCGTGACCGATTCTGGCTCCTCTCCATTCCTCAGAAAGTCAAGCATGTCGAAGTCGTGGATCAGCATGTCGTGGAAGATGCCGCCGCTGGTTCGGAGATATTCCAATGGGGGGGGGGTGGGTTGTCACGGCTGCACGTCTCGACCAACTTCAATTTGCCCACTGCGCCTGCATCCAGCTGCTGCTTTAGCGCTCGGAAGTGGCGGTCGGCTCGGCGCTGATAGCCACAGACAAAAGGCAGGTTCCGACTCCTTGCCAGCTCCACAGCCTCGATGACCTCATGCAGCTCGTGAGAGATGGGTTTCTCAGCCAGGACAGCTTTGCTGGCTCGAAGGGACTCCATAATGTATGGGAAGTGCGTGTCCGTCGCAGATGCGATGATAACTTCGTCCACATCATCGAGCGCCTCACCCAGCTCTGTGGACCAGCGGCACCCCTGTTCTGCTGCAATGCGCCGGGCCTTCTCCTCATCGATGTCCACAACCCAAGAGAGCTGCACCACATGCGGCAGCTGCACCACGGATTGCAGGTGGAAGTGGCCAGCGCGGCCCAAGCCCACAAGCGCAACACGTGTCTTCTCGGCCGAGGTCATGATGAACCAGTCCTCCAAGCTAAAGACAGCAGGCGCAGAAGCCAAAGGGTCGACAGGCAAAGCGCAGAACTCGAGCGGAAGTGGTGGGTAGGGCATGCAGGGAGAAAGCATGAGCATGGGATTGTTGGGAGATTCCAGGGCCACCCTTTGCTTAAGGATCAAGTTGAGGCGATGCGCACACTTATATGTACAGTGCGAGTTTGTGAGGGCAGCTTCTGCATCAGCAAGAATTTGTGGGGTGAACCTCACTGTGTGTGCCTTTGCCACCGTCATCAGCGGCTGCGCAAGAGGAGCGAGCAGCCTGATGTGGCCGCCGAGAAGAGCCACACGCCATCGTACCTGCTCGCAGTACATCAAGTCTAGAATACTTAGCACGAACTGCACACAAAATGTTGTTGCTGACGATTGGCAGCGTTGTACTACAATCAATCACCCGAAAAAGCCCA